TAAAACCATATTTCAGATAATGCTTTATGTAATAATCACAAATTTGGCATAAGGTTTCTTAACATGCTCATCAATAATCTGCAGATTATTGAAGAGCATGTTACCATGGTAATAACTTTGCATTTAATATACAGCAGGTTGTTATTTTACGGAACTAATGTACCCCAAAACAAATTGTGCATTTATCGATTAAACATAAAAGAGCAGTTTTAAACGTTGCTATCTTAATGATTATTTATGTCATAAGGCTGAGCTCAATTAGTGAAGCATATTTACAACATTTTATCTGTTAAACGATACCTAAAACGCACAATTATAATAACAAGTATTAAAAGTATAAAGTCACAGAGAGCTGTTATTTTTATTATTATTTTTTTATTGGCCCTAACAGGAGACTAGGATGTAAAAAACTTCACCTGATGGTCTAAATTATTTTTACCGCCTAGGATATAATCGAATACTTTGGTAGTGAGCGTTGACATGTCAATAATAAAGCTTAAATTATAGAACACTTTTTTCATTTTTTACATTTCAATTTTTGAGGCAGTGGCGTGATGTTACATGTGCAACTTTTAAAGCCCCATATATGGTATAGTATACTATCAGAACAAATCCCAATATACAAAAATACGTAAAGTCGTATTTCGCTAAGCAAAAATGTGTTAACTACAATATTAAGTAATAGAGTAAAAATCACTATATTGCATGTGCCTGGGACATAAAAAAGTTGTATTTTTAGTAATATAAAAATTGCAAAAAAGTCATAGGTATCATATTAGTTCAGGTGCTTTCCGGGTCCCCACTGGACGATAATGTTAATCTAGCCCTTACTAGCATAAATAAAACTGCAAATTTTCAACAAAATCGGCTAACGAATTATTAAGATATAAGAAAAAACGATAAAAAAATATTTGACACCCTGTATGTTAAAAACGAAGCATTACCGGACCTATGTGTATATAGGTATAAATTCGTCTTAGAATCATTCAAAGAATCACTACGTACACTGTGTATAACACTCTGTATATTATAATATTATTGTTACAATATTAATTCTGGAAAATATATTAATTTTGTTTACTATAATAATTAACCATGTAAATAGACCACTATCAAAATATGAGAAATTATGTTGATTCTCAATTTGTTTTACAGAAAGTATATTTAAATACAAACGTTTTAAGTAGTAAACAAGCCAACACAGATGTTTTTGTTTAAGTTAAAAGAAACAAATAATAATACTTAAGAACCTTCTAAAAACTATGATTGCCAGATAAATAAACTTAACTATCAAGTAAAAGTAAAATCAGGTAGGTACTTTTGGCCAAAGTGCTATTTTTAGTAATAAACCACTGGCAACTGAAAATATTTACAGGAACTGGCGTTAAAATATTCAATTTTATCTAAAAATATTCTACAGTGACCTAACTCAACAAACAAATTAATTTTATAGTGGAAAGATTTCGTAAAAATGTCCTGGCATAAGTTTATAAGCGTATCTAATTATAATTATTGATAAACAAGTTAATTTTTAGAAATGTTAGACCAAACTTGATTTACTTTATCTTTATATCCATATCGATGGTTATTTGACAAAACATCGTAAGCGACAAAACCTAAATTTTACAGGAGAGATTTTTTTTGTGTGGGAGCTTTATTTTTAAAGTTATTTATCTGAAAACTGGTGAGGCATTATTTTATTAATGTAGAATTCAAATATTTAAGTTAGATCGAATCCAATCTAAAATTTTCATTAAATTTTGTGGCATACGATATTTTATAAGAACATCTTTAGGAAAATGTAAAAATATAGTAAATTTAAAAGTAAACTACGTACACGTCATCAATCAGCTGATCGGGCACGGTTGTCAATGTGATGCTAAAATCCTTGCATCAAGGGAAAGTGGTAGTGCAACTACAGGGCGATAGATGGCGTTTACATGAATAATACCAAAATGTCAAAAGTCTGAGTTTTTATAACCTATATAATGCACCGCCAAAAGTATGTTTTTAGCCATTTTTAAAGACATTTTCTGATATAAAACCCAAAAATTTTGCCATCTAAAGTCAGTCTCTGGTATATATATTATTATTTCATGTATCCAACATATATTTTGTTAAATATTCTAATATATAATTAATAATAATCCTATTTACCTCTCTAACAGCTGTTAAAGGTAACAAAGGTCCATTATTATCCCGTTCTGCCTCAAAATAGCGTATTAAGGATGACACCAACTCTTGACTCCGACTATTTAAATGCTTCGGCATTTTAAATATAGGAAACCCAAAAAAAACGATATATAACAAACACAAAAACGGCAATGAAAACTTAAACGATATAAAATAACACAAACAACAAACAAAATAAACGAAATAATACACAAATTAAACGAAATATTCCAAAACACAACTGACAGCTTCGAAATTCTAAAACGTCAAATTCTTTTTTATGTGTCATTTAAATATGAAAAATTTGAATGTAAACATGACAACATCACAATTGTTGCCAACTTAATTTGGTTAAAATGCATTCAAATATTCAATTACAGACTTCGATTTAGTCATTTAGTGTTGGTACCAATGCGTAAAATTTTTGTTTTATTGATGACGTGTACGTAGTTTACTTTTAAATTTACTATAGTCTTGTCGCTTAAGTTACATTTACGTTACTTTGTGGGATATTATAATAATTAATAATATAATAGATTTGATGATTACTTTTGTCAAAACATTGTTAGCGACATTTATTTTTTTACTTTTATTATTAAATAAAAAATAATTACAAAAAAATTAATTTATATCACCAACGATATTTTGCCAAACAATGTTTGAAAATGAAAACCTACATTAGCTTTCTTTGAAAAAAACGAACGATTTTTATTCACAAACCAGTATCTAACCCATGGAGCCTACACAAGGAGCCCGAACTTAATGTATGTGCAAACCAACCTTTAGGGACATTTTTGACAAGATGACAAGCAGTTTCAAAAAGTTGACAGAGAATCTAACCTTAAAACAACACAATTAACAATGAAATACGTCAAACTGACAACTTTCAGAAAGTAAGGTTAGTGGTTACTAAAGGCAGTTTTACATTTTGAAATCAACTGAATGACAGGTCGTTCGAAATTTTTTGGCAGTCATCTAACCGTTATAAATTTGAGTTAAATTATTTGACGTTATAACAACATACAATTATAATTAGGATAACTATTAATAATGCAATGATAAAAAGGAATTATAAGCTTTTGATCAAATAAAATATCGTTTTAAAACTTGGTAGCAATCACAATCCACATTGTGGATTGTGGTAGCAATCACCACGATGCAGGTATACTCACGAATAAACTGTTTAGAGCGGGAATAACGCCTTGATAGATCAAGGCGGGAGCACAATATTATCGTAAGCGACACAATGTTAAATCGCAAACGCCATGTCTCGGAGTTGCTTACGATTATTTGTCAGGAACATATAGGCGCTTACGTTATAAATCGGTAACAAATTAAAAAGAAGAGGCGCTTACAATAATAAAAATATTCAAACTGATCAATATTAGATTCCAAAATAGGAATAACTATTATGTTAACATGTGCAGCTTATCGTAACTGACACTTTAATAAAATAAAAAGTAATTCAACAAAATTGTCGCTTACGATGTTTTGTCAAATAACCATCGATATTTTAGTTATATTTAGCAAAAAAGACATTTGTGCAAATAAATTATTATATACAGGAGATTCATTAGAAATTTTGGTTACAGCTATAGCGCGATGTGATTTATTTTTCTTAAATATTTAAAATGATGTCACTGCTTTTAAATAAAAAAAATAATAAAAATTAACCTAACTCGTTTTAACCATGACCTACCTAATGTGGAAGCGGTTTGGGTTGACGGACTAAGTAGAGTCGGCCAGTTGTTTAACTGTGGTTTTTATTGGTTCGTCTTCAGCTGTTACTGACACAACGAAACCAGTGGTTGTCATTAGCACTAATGCAAAAGTGATGGAGAAAAAACTTGCTCACTTTGGCGTAAACTATTATCTCTGCAAGGGATGATAACTTATTACATGACCAGTGGCGTAACTACAATGGTGCGTAAAAAAAAACTTTAAAAAAATTGTGGTAATTTTAAAAACTATGCAAAAAGGAACAAGTGAGTGTCGACACTTTATTCAATTTTTTTTAAATTCTTTGTCGTTTTATAAATAAACGTATACGTTTGTCGTTTTATACGGTTGTATATAAAATTTTCCAAAAATATACTTCCAACACTGAAAAATTGATTTTCAGGTACCTCTGAAAAGTGCTCACCAAATTTGAGCTTTTAATATTAATAGGAAGATCCTCCTCATCACAGTTTTCCATTTTTTTTAGTCCCTTATAAAAAAGACCATATTTCATTATTAATCAATCGTTTAATTAATTCTGTATACATATTTTTGTAGGAAATTGAATGCCCTACAAAAAAGGACTAGTGTTAAGCGATTACTCTAACTATTTAAAAAAATTCAAGATCAAAGTTTGAGAAGTTTATTAAAAAAAATAATATACAAATAGTATATAATTTTATTTTCAAATTTGGTGAGTGAGCACTTTCTAGAAGTGCCTAAGAACCACACACCTAAGAACCAATTTTTCAGTGTCGAAATTAAAAAAAAAATATTCGATGTTTTTTAATCACCCTAATATAAAATTACAATTTTTTTATAACTATAACAGTTTTTAATGGTGGTAGAATTGTTTTAGGTCCATTTTGCACTTTGTTTAAAATAATTATAATTGGTGTATTACTGGTAGGTCCATACCTAGGAAATCATTCCTGTCGCGATTTATGATAAATCCTACATTTTTTTTTTCATTTATATGTATATTATAGAGATGAGAGGGGGGCCGGATCTAAGATTTGAAACCAGGGCCCCACGTTGTCTTGTTACGCCACTGTACATGACAACATGCGTTGCAAATGCGATATTTAATATTTGTGTTGTTTTTACAGGAAATGAGAGTCCTTCCTTCAATAATGCAGCCTCATTTTCTGGGGCCCAGCAGGAACTACCCAACGAAATATCGGCTCCATACGAAGTACCTCAGTTCCCAATTGAACAAATCGAGAAGAAATTGGCTATACAAAGACAAATAAATTACAAGTAAGTACTTACAAATTCTTTTAAAAATACTCAAAAATAATTTTTATATTCAAAATGGTGTGTCATGTTATAGGCCCTAACGTATACCCCTGGGTATACATAATATGTCCATGGATGGGAAAAAATAAATTATTTTACATTTCCCGGAAAATTTTATTATTGATAAAAGTTTTTACTTGATTTCAAACCCTCAGACTACAAAATGTTTGATTAGTTTTTGTTCACTGTCATTTTCTTTTCAACAAATGAATGTTATTTTTATGGTAGGTAAAAGTCTCTTTAGAATTCTCCACGGATGTCATCCATTTTTATTTATAAGTAAAAATTAATGACACATGAAAAAGTATAAAAAATGCATAATACTGCCATGAAAAATGTATTTATGGCGATAAATTAAAAAGTACAAAGTAAACAATTACTTGTTAATTTTAACCAAATAATAACCAGATTTTATGTTAATCTATTTTCACATAATGTTAAGTTTACAACCTACTGTAATCTGTTAACTAATTAATTAAGTGGTTTGAAATTATTACAGACATTTTGTAGATTTAAAAAACAATTGGGAAATTGGGAAATTAAAAAAAATAATTTTATTAAGAATATTGCTTTATTAATCAATTTCCTAAACAAAAAAATTAACGCTTACTTACATAAATGAACACAAAAAATAAAATACACATTTTTATAGCAGTGTAAAATATTTGAACCTGTCAAAATAAACGATTACTCTTGAGAAATGACAAATTAACTAAATGACTAACTCGGAAACTCCGCAATTTTTGCCATAAAATCGCGCGGATTTTTGGGATCAAAACGTGTCCAGATCCTGAAATTCGGTATCCCGGAAATGTATGCCCTGGTCCCACTATATTAACTAATTATCTTTGGTAATTAATAAAATACTTCTTTATTAATATAATTCTTAATTGATTATGATCATCGCCGGATTTAGGGGGGTCTTTGGGGGTCTATAGACCCGGGGCGCAAGCTTACAGGGGGCGCAAAATTTTTGACTGGTAATTTTTGTTTTTTACTACAACCTAAAGGGTTTTCCCCTTTTTTATTTTTCGTGTATTAATCACTTTTAATAAAAAAATTATTTAAATTATAACCGTGATTGTTGCCATAGTATTATTTTCTATGCATAGTATACGAAATATGTCATGTCACGTATTACGTAGGGCGCCCGACAAGTTGTTGGGCGACAAGAACTTTAGTTTGCAGAAATTGATTATTTCCACCGATGCGATGCGTATGGGCGTAAAGGTTTTTTAATATAAGAATATTTTATTACACTACGAACAACTATTAATTTAAATTAGTTTAAAACTATAGTTATATACAGTACCAGTCATATATATATGTATGTATATATACAGTATAGGTATTAGCCTATTGAAAGATGACGTCAATATTGCGATAAACAAATTTGCTTCTCTAAAAGCACGCAAAGTTGAGTTGGCAAAATGTTAATTTTCTTATTAAGGTATTTGTTTTTTATATAGTTTTTGTTTATGTTTTTAGGGTGGCAATATTTTTTCGACATTTTTTTTTATTTCGGAGCTCACATGAAACAATTTAAGTTTAAAGTATTCAAGTTTCAACTCAAAAAAAATAAACGTCGCTCAAAAAAATCAACTAAATTGGAAAAATAGTAGTGGTTACAAGATCAAAATTATTAAAAAAATCAAGAAATGTATTTCAAAAATATTGAGCGACCAATAATATTTTTACTTAAAAATGTATTCTGTTCCTATACGACCTACAAAAAAAATAGTGAGAAGCCAAAGATTTTGAGAAAAAAGTTTGGTTTAAAAAAGTTTTGAGCGACGTCTAAAATTTTTTTATCTGTTGAAACTCAAATACTTTAGACTTATTTTTTTTATTTGATCTCCAAAATCAAAAAAATTTCGAAAAAATACTACAACCCTAATGTTTATGGTTAAATAAAATCCTTTTGTTAAGAAGTGACATTTCTTTGAATTTATTATATAGGTAGGGGCGGAAAATTTTTATTAGACCCGGGGCGCAAATTTTTATAATCCGGCGCTGATTATGATCTAAAAACAACAAAAAGTTTGATTATGATCTAAAAACGACAAAAAGTTTGCTGCTCGGTTTGTTTGCCTGGCGTTTTCTTTTGATCGGACTTTCTCGAGGGGCGGCAAATAGGGGGGCAGTTGGGGACGGTCGACGGAAGTCCCGATTGCGTTGTTGTCACTCTCGAAATTAGTCCGCGATGACCGCCTCCGGAGGGTGGACTGTCCCGCCCGTGCAACGTTTCAGACGTTATTAAGTTTTGTTTTGTTTTTTTTTCTAAGAGGTCCAACAGGTTTCTTGAGAAGAAATAGATAGATATGTTCGGTTTAGCTTCGGATTGGAGTTTTTTCAGGTTTTTATTAGATCTAATAAAATAAATTTAATTATGCAAATATTTTTAATTTTCAATTAAAGTTTTTATTGGTCTATTATTTTTAAATCATTTTAATTTATTGGGGTGTCCCGTACTAACGTCCTACACGCGATAGGGTGGGTATGAAAAAAATATTATTTTTATGTCAATAGAATTTATTTTTTTGATTTATATAAATAGAGTATTTATTTGTTTTTAAGGATAGACAACAAGTTTATAAAAACGTTTCAAAAATGAAAAGTTAAAATTTGGTAATAATATCAAAGTTATTTTATAATAATTTAAAGTTTTGTTTTTGTGACACGAACTCATAAAATAAAATCTTTCAACATGATAACCTCATCGTCCTTTTTTTAATTGTTTTTGAATGTGTAGAGGAGAGTAACCAAATTTTGATTTAAAACAAAAATTTAGCCACCATTGAGGAATAATGTTATAATATTATAATATTATTGTAATTAACAATAATAAAATTCTACAAAATAAAAATAACAAACAAGTACCTAAATATGAAATATTTGTTTTCTTAAAAAAAACAAATATAATATATATCTCCTAGGAGATCAAGGAACAAATCCCAGTGTTGAACTCAAAACCAGTCATTATAACCTCAGGGCCCTTGTATTAGATAACACAATTATGAAAATAAACATAACACAATGTCATTATACAACCAACAAATGTTGTAAAGAGTGAGCCAACAGATAGTGGGAAAGTTTTTGTGGAATAAAACAAGTTTAATTAGTAATCATTGTAGTTTTTTATTAAAGTTATAAAGTTTCGTCTATAGACAATTATTATGGAACATCGTTCGTGTTACCACAACGACCATCATCAAAAGATCATTTTTTTAAATCCCATTTTTCAATGGCTTCAAATTCACTTTGAATATGTTTAAGGTCTTGAATTTTTCTTTGATTATAGACTTTAATTTTTAAATAACCCTCTAAATTGTGAAATCTCCTAGAACCGAAATAATGCGAACTTCATTTTCTATAAATAAAGTATTTCAAATATAAATGTGTCTCTTAAACTTAAATCAATAAACTTTTAAAAGCATTTTCATATTTTTTTTAATTTAATCTAGAATTTATTTAGGTAGTATATTAATTCTTTGAACTTTCTAATTAACATCATTGGCAAAATTGGCAGTTTCCTTGATCCTTTGTTAAGTTAAAATACATTAAAACAAAATTACCTAATTAAAAATCTCTCTACTAAAAACAAAAATTAAATCGTTTTAATAATTTTTTTATATTTTTTTAAGAGCAAACGAAGACAAACGCAGTCATTATGAACCTTCAGTTACCGGACCCATCGAGTTGGAAGAACTGGATGAACACGATTTATATGTTCCACATTTCCAGAGAGTTTCCATTTCTGGAGAGGACACTAGTGGGGTAAAATACTATATTTTGCATTTATAGATAGGGCTCACTTAACTTTATAACCACAAAAATGGCTAAGTTATTTTTACTGTCATATGTCAAAAAAAACTAAATATTTAAAGCTGGTAAACTATCGATGGAGTTATTGGAAAAACTCGTAAGATAATATTAAAATCAATATTGCAATCAAGGCATTTAATAAAACTTATGTTTTATCTGCAAAGAAGCCTATTAAAAACGAAACCATTCAACTATGCTTCTAAATTTAGATTCCAGATTACATTTGCACCTGCCTAGCTTACACAACACTCTTTATTTTTTTAATCGTATTAATTTATTGCGTATTTTCAAGGTTCCATTGGAGGATTTGGAGAGGGCATCAAAACTTCTAATACAGGCATTAAAAATCAGGAAGAGATACATGAAAATGTCGTATCAAAGTTTTTCCTCGACAGTGGCCAGATTCCTTGACCCTGACAAGGAACAGCAACATCACGACGAAAAACAGTCGATCGCAGGTATAATTTGTCAATTATATAGAAGATTTTGTAAATAGTTTCAGGTTTTTCCGTCATTCTATTTATTTATTTTATAATCCCCAATTTTGTCCCAACGTATTTTAATTTTTGCATGTTAGATGACGAAGATATGTTGTTCATGCAGTCCCAAAGTGCGAGGTCTTCGTTTGACGATTATTTTATCACGCAGATGCTGAGCACTGATAGTAATATATTAAATAACGGCGGTGAAGGTAAAACTAAATTAAAAAAACACCCCACTGATATAATAATATTAATTATGCCACCTAACACATGTATATGTTCAAATACAGCGTACCCAGAAACTTTCATATCAAGTCAGCCTTAAATTTTAGAGATAAACAGATAAATACTTTTTTTGTTAGGATTGTTTTTGGATCTGTATTTTCAAAAAGTGATTTTATGCAAGGTTTTTCCAAAGTGCGCCCTATAGTGAGGCTATTTTTTACAATTACTTTTATTCTGGGTAAAATCATTTTAGTGTTTAGTGAATAGTACTAGATCACCTTACTGGACAGGACAAGCATAAATATAAACTATTAACAGTTTTACATTATTGATTACAAATTACACATCTACATATTTATATCATCATAGTATTCCATTCAATTTTGTAATAATCTAATCATTTTTTTATCTTTTCCTTTAAGACCACGGTATCCACCCTCCAATCCACAAACCATGGGAAGCACCCGAAGTGCCCGATACCGACCACGTTTTTAAGAGCAATAACGGTGTATATGAGGTGTTCGCAAACGAAGCGGATGTCAAAGCAAATAAACCATGCGATTATCAATATCCGGACGTGGTGCAGTTTACAACTGATTTTTATAATATGTGCAACATGATTGCCGATGGACCTTTGTAAGATAAAATTTTCTGGGAAGGTCCCAAAGTTCATTCAAAACATTGCCCTAAATGTGGCGGCTGGTGGATTTTGGGCACACCCATATCTCAGTTATTAGACATGGACCCACATCAAATTTATGTGAGTTTATAATGACATTATATATCACGGTTCACCGAACACCGTTTTTAACGAAAAAAATACTTACCAACTAAGTATTAAAAAAAAGTAAAATGAAAATCTTCCATCTGTCAAAAATTTTGTCAAAAAACTGTTTTTTTTTAATACTTTCAGTTTTTTGGGTTGCTATATTTAAAATATGAATTATAATTTATTTCTTTAGTAGGTAATAAAAAATGCATGTTTATGACAATGAATATATACCCGTATTTGAGGCGTTCAATCAAGTAGTTTCTGGCTGCTTTGGCCAAAACTTAGCAGATGAATATAAAGACTACATAAAAGAATTTAAACTGCAATCATCAAAAGCTGGAATTACATGTACACCAAAGATCAATGCTCTCATTTATCATGTTCCTCAATTTATTGAAGAAACGCAAAGAGCCCTTGGTTTCTTTTCAGAGCAAGTATCGGAGCAAGTTCATCATTCATTCAATATATTTTCCAGGAATTTTAATTTATCCAGAAATAACTTGGAAAAATATAATATGAACTTGCTTCGATGTCATTTGCATACAATAGTCAACATCTATAGGCTTATAGATTTATTTTGTTGTTTTTTACATTTTTGTTAAAGTTTATCAATTTTTACGTTTATAATTTTGAATAATGCATTCAGAAGAATTAAGTTTGAGTTTTCTACTATCGTATGAGGCATGGAAGATTTTCATTTTACTTTTTTTGAATACTTAGTTGGTAAGTATTTTTTTTAAAAATGTTTCAAAGTTGTTCCATTTTTTTTTTCGTTAAAAACGGTGTTCGGTGAACCGTGATAGACAAGTTCTGCGCAAGCAGAATTCAAATTGAAGTTTTAGAAAAAAAAAATAGTTTTTAAGTGTGCCCCCAGCCTCCTGCCCCCCAAATTAAGATAATTCAAATTAAAGTGGTACAATATTTAATTCACTGAAGTTTATCGACAAATTTCAAATTTTATTAAAAAAATTCAAGTATTACAGATTTTATACCATTTCTATTTTTATTTTAAATTTAGTAAAAGAAATAATAAAAATTTAAAATGGTATAAAACCTGTAATTCTTGAAATTTTTTAATAAAATTTGAAATTTGTCGATAAACATTAGTGAATTAAATATTGTACCACTTTAATTTGAATTATCTTAATTTGGGGGGCAGGAGGCTGGCACACTTAAAAACTAACTTTTTTCGCAAACTTTAATTTAAATTCTGCTTGCGCAGAACTTGTCTATATAATGTCATTGTAAACTCATATAAATTTTATGTGGGTCCCATGTCTAATAACTGAGATATGGGTGTGCCCAAAATCCACCAGCCGCCGCTAAATTTTATGTTAAGATCTCATTAATGTGATATTAGCAACTTCATAATGATTATAGAATTTGTGAACTGTTTGGCCTTTTCGTAGTACTCAATTTAATTAATTCATATAGGTTTATGTTTATGTTCTATTTTCTTTGTAGGAAGTCTTTCTGCTACAGACGCCTCAGTTATTTATCATCAAAATTTCAGCTCCACGTCCTTCTAAACGAACTTAGAGAATTGGCATCGCAAAAAGCGGTACCACATCGCGACTTCTACAATATCCGCAAGGTCGACACTCATATTCACGCTGCATCCTGCATGAATCAAAAACATTTACTGCGTTTCATCAAAAAAACCCTCAAAAATAATGCTGACGAAGTTGTTTCCGTCACAAACGGAGTCCCCATGACTCTTAAAGAGGTGTTTCAGGTACGTTGTCGCAGGCACTTTACCTTAGACAGTATTAACGAACTTTTTCAGTCAATGAACCTAACAACGTACGACCTAACGGTGGACATGCTAGACGTACATGCCGACAGAAATACATTTCATCGTTTTGATAAGTTTAACGCTAAGTATAACCCTATTGGCGAGAGTCGATTAAGGGAGGTTTTCCTTAAAACCGATAACTATTTGAACGGCAAATACTATGCGAGTATAATCAAAGAGGTCGCCAGCGATTTAGAGGAGTCTAAATACCAAAACGCTGAGTTGAGGTTGAGTATTTACGGCAAAGGAAGGGATGAGTGGGATAAGTTGGCTAAATGGGCTATGACTTCCAATGTGTATTCGGATAATGTACGTTGGTTAATCCAGATTCCCAGATTATTGCAAGTATATAAATTTAAATGTCAAATATTATCTGATTTTATTGTTTTTTCAGTGATATCTTTAAGCTTAACAAAGTCCTAAGCAACTTCCAGGAAGTTGTGGACAATATTTTTGTACCTCTGTTCGAGGTAACAGCTAAGCCTAGATCTCATCCTGAACTCCATAACTTCCTTCAATACGTTATTGGTTTTGACTCTGTGGATGATGAGAGTAAACCAGAGAAGAATCCGTTATTCGATAAGGACACACCAAATCCTGAATCATGGAGTGATGAGGAGAACCCCAACTATGCCTATTATTTGTACTATATGTACGCGAATTTGTGCGTTTTAAATCACTTTAGAGCTGAAAAAGGTCTTCATACTTTTGTGCTAAGACCACATTGTGGTGAGGCAGGGCCTGTGCAACATTTAGTATGTGGTTACATGCTATCCGAGAATATTTCTCATGGTTTATTATTGAGAAAAGTACCTGTTCTGCAGTATCTCTACTATCTAGCTCAAATCGGTATTGCTATGTCTCCTCTATCCAATAATTCACTCTTTTTGAACTACCATAGAAACCCATTACCTGAGTATTTAGCTAGAGGTCTTGTAGTTTCACTCTCCACCGATGATCCTTTGCAATTTCACTTCACCAAGGAACCTCTTATGGAAGAATACAGTATTGCAGCCCAAGTGTGGAAACTATCTAGTTGTGACATGTGCGAGTTGGCAAGAAACAGCGTGTTGATGTCTGGATTCCCCCATAAGAGCAAGCAATACTGGTTGGGTCCTAACTACACCAAAGAGGGTGTTTCCGGAAATGATATTGCGCGAACTAATGTACCGGATATTCGAGTGGCTTTCAGATACGAAACTTTGATAGACGAGCTTTCAAATATTTTCAAATCTCACTCGAAAGAGGCGCAATAATTAGTTTGTTAACAACATGGCTATAAGCAAAAATAAATCTCCTCTAAAATTGACATTATTAATTAAACACATTTTATGATTAAGTAATACTAATATTACCTAGCATAAAACGTGTTAAATTACATCATGTCATGACATGATAATTGCAATTTTAGAGAAGATTTATCTTTGCTAATAGCTATTTTGGTGTTGTTATAAATGCCTTATATAGTCCTACGTAAATAATATTCACTGAACATGCTATTATTAGTTTGATACTTTTATATTTTGTTAGGGTATGTTTTAAAGTATTTTAATACATTTTATTGATAGTACTAGGCAACTTGGTTGTTTTTGTTGATTGGTACTCCACATTTAAATATTTTAAAATATCGACCAATTCTATGTTTAAATAAGGAATATTAAAAAAATATATGTTGTATTACAATTTTATGTTTTATTATACCCTATAACAGTGGCGGCTCGTGGGTGTACAGGAGGGTGAGGCTACATAAGGTTAATTTTGTCTAAATACGAATAAATTTCCACGTCACCCGGGAGGTATTATTCTCCGACGCGTTGACCTTTTTTAAAATGGAGGTCATCGCTGATAGCCCTACTAAACCATTATAAATAAAAAATAAACTCTAAAAAACAAAACAAACAAAATATCACATCAAAGACTAGTTTTAATCTTAAAACTTAAAAATATATTCTTAAAAAAGTTAAAAATAAATAAATTAATCAAAAAATAAAAATAAAACTAAAAAGTCAACCCCTACCTAAGTATTAAAAAATATAAAATACTATATATAGCTATAGCTACTTTTTGTAAATTAAATCTATACGTCTATCTTTTAAGTTCCCAAATTTATCTATTATTTGGTCGTAAAATTGTGGGTCTGCATTGAGATTTGAAAGTATAGAATTATAATTCTTGTTCTATTTACATCGTTGCTAAGCTTGAAAGCCGTTCTTGTGTCATTGTGTTCCTAAGGTAGGTTTTAATTCGTTTAAGACGTTTTAGCCTATCTTTGTCAAAAATATTTGGATAACTTTTTAATAAACTCTTAAGTAAGTTGTCTGGAAAGCAATTTGCATATTTCGTTTCTTTTAAAAAAAGGCGTTTCAATTATTGAGAGAATAACGTCATGAACAGGATTCATTTAAACAAAAAATTGGAAAATTTAACTAAGTAAAGAAAACTTACCGGAATTTTAAAAACCAAACTCAATACAACTGGTTGCTTAATAAAAACTGCTAAATCTACCTTAGTGTGTCCCCCACAATAATTAAATAAGAAATTTTACTAATCGAGACAAAAACTATAAAAGATCAGCCAAAAGTTTTAAATAATTTAATCTGAATCAAAACAAAACGAAACAAAACGTGCTCTACGAACGCTTAGAGAACACTGGCCTCCCCACCATAGACGGACACGCGATTATCATATGATAAAACCAGAAATCAGAGCAAGCGGCTTGCAAGCCAAGCTAACTTTATTTCGCCTCACCTAGGACTGAATTTACGTTGTTTATTCGCGAACTTTAGTTGGTGAGTCATTTTCGCTTTCAAGAGGTAAATGGGAGCTTCCGAGGCTGTGAAAATTTCGCCTCTGTCTGGCTTCTCTCGACGATGCACGTTTACTTGACGCGCTTTGCGCCTGGATTTTTATTTACGCTTAGTATTATTGATTTCAACCATGGTTTTTTTACTTTTTATTGGGTAGAACCATTGTAAAAATACACTTGTAATAGGCAAAAAGCTAAATACAAAAAGTCGTTCGTTCCTTTATTTTAAGGGTGAGGCGCGGCCTCAGAGGCCTACCCTGACGAGCCGCCACTGCCCTATAATATTTTATAGATATTTTTCAACATACGTAAATAACATAAAAAGCACTATTATTTTTTCCTGTTTATTTTATATTCTTACTTAAATTATTATATTACAAAAGATTGAATTTTTATTTACATTTAACCCATTAAACAGACTAGACATTAAATCTAAGGTTACATTTATTTCTTAAGTTATCACAGCCTTGCAATCTCAGAGAGCTTATTTAGAGCAACTTAAACACATAAACCGTATAAAAGTAAAAAAAAAACACTTTTCTACCTAAGACTAAAGAAATTGCTCCATCTCCCTACTCTTTACTCTAATTCCACTGTGCAAGCGACAGACTTTGACGCATAGGACTCAGGCCAAAATTTAAAACATGGCAAAAAATCAGCCAAAATGCTTTTTTACAAAAATTAAGTGTAGTAGCGCCATTCCATTGTATTTGGAAAAAAGTTTCAAAAACTCACAGTGTTCTTTTTACATCCCTACAAGTGGCTATCACAAGTAACTTCACTAACGCTTTCATCTGATTTAGAATCCTTATTGTTTCGTTTTGGTGAGCTCAACATTATAGCGAATATGTTTCTCACTGGTGCCTCAACAGTAAGGTAGAGAATTAAAGATGTTCCAAAAGCCAAAACTATGTCTGATAGACCCAAACTTATCTAAAAAAAAAGTTATCGGTATCTTCTATATTTAATGCAATTCTTAAACTTACTATATCAAAGTAGGTGACTACATCAGCACCACCTTTCTTACCAAGCGATCTCATTTGGAACTGCATGTGAGTCAAGTAGGCTCCATAAACCAATTTACTAATAGGTATCCATGGGGACCAAGACAAGAACCTCTTGATTATTCCTGAGTAACCAAAGCTAGCCGTGTATAACATACCAATGCTACCTACCGACCATATTGTTCTGTGTAGAGCAGCGTATAAAGCTGATTCCAATGCATTGTATTTGTAGTAGGGATCATAGAAGATTACTCCTGTCACAATAGAAGCTATCATTATTGCCAAGGATGAAATGATGAATAGTGAAGAAACCATCTACAAAAATATGTTAGTAACGGAAATATGTCTATTATTTAACCAAATTACCCTGCTCATTTTCTTTTTGCTAGTAGAGTCCTTCATCTTAAAGTAAATATATCCAGCTATCATTCCTACAAAGTATGGTGAAGATCTAGCATGTGATTTAGAGTAAGTCAATAAGAAATCTGGATGAGTTTTAGGCGCCCTTATAAACTCTGGATAAAAGAATAAAACAGCAGGTCTTTCATAGATATAACCAATTAAAAATGGGACCAAGACAGAAGCAAATGTTACTAGACCAAGCAATATTAATCCTATACGTTTGTTTCTGTGTATTGTTGAACAAATTAAAATTGCCACGATGAAGTAGTGGAAGTCGCAGGGGAGGTACCAAGAATGAACCATACACTGTAAAATAATGTAATTTGAATTTTTTCCCGATATTTTTCTTTGTTTATATATATACCATATGTTCAGCATTTACATAATTGCTAATGTAGAGTAAGTTAGTCCACCAATTTGTTCTACAATCGGTTACTTCAGGGCCTATTATTGTTTTCCACATAGGACCAAATGCAGCATAGTTAAATAGTGTTGCTGAGTAAAAAACTACGAAAGCGTAGACTGGTGTCAACCTAGAAAAAATCTTGTTAATTTTTGTTTTCACTTGATTATGATCTTAAGGTTGCAACCTAATGTATCTCATAAAAATTATGAATCCAGGATTCAAGAACCTTTTCTCGAATTGGCAAAGTAAAGAGTATGTAACCAGTAGACCACTTAGTATGAAAAATGAGTCCACAAAAAGATCTCCGTGAAAAAATATAGTTCCAAAAGCAGCTCTATATTGCTATAAAAAAATATTAAAACAAATGAACTATAAGGAATATCTTAAAATTTACCTGTTCCACCAAATCAAAATTTAAAACTCCTGATGATAAATGTGTACCAAATCTATGATCAATAATAATCATACAAATACAGAAAACTCTCATTCCATATAGAATATTAAGAGCTGGATTTGACCCTTCAGAAGTGAATAGTTTTTGAAAGTTTTTTCTTACGCAAAAAGCCAAACCCAACTTTGTTAAAGGAGAAACTAAAACATAAATGATAGGTTTATTAAATTTTTATGTATTTTGTCTTCATACTTTCAGATGATTTTCTTGTTCTTGTGTAATGATAACATCCAAATGATGTGGAGAATATCACGAAGATAAATATTATTCCAACAATCAAACTAAAAAGGAACATGTTAAAAAAACATAAATAAAAAATAGTAAACATACCAAAAAGATATGTCAGCATAATCATAATACTGATTTTCCAACTCATTTTGACAACTTAGTTCTCCCAGACTTGCTTTGTATGTAACATTTTCATGTCTCATCGGAAAATCTACTGTTTCATAGTAATTATTCAGATGATTCTGTAAGTCTGTTGGAGTACACGAAGCTGGAACACACCATGCCAAAAATACAAAGTTTTTGGGTTGCTGGGAAGGATCTTTGGAGTCCTAAAAACAAATTAAATAATCCATGATAATGTACATAATATCGCAATACTGTTTATTCTCTTCATATAAATGTGGTGTTTTTGAGGTATTATTAAAGTTTAAAATGAAATGATATTTAAATTAGTAGTTGCTCTTTCAATGTGGTTAAGGTAAATTGCACCAATATTTTATAAAGAAAATTTGCAATCACACTGGAAAGTTGAATAATAATATCTTTAGGAATACTTGCATAATGGCATCTGTATACCGTTATGTTTTTATTATATTTTTTATAATCCAATCTTATTTTGAGACAAAATTTACATTTCTAGAAGAATTATAATTATTGTTTAAAAAAATATAATTTTAGTATGCAACAATAGTTTATTGTGCCACTAGTGGGAAAATGAGGAGATTCTTTGAGCGTGAAGTTTGCCGGGCGAGCGTAGCCAGCGAGGCAACACGGGTTAAACAGTAGACCTCTAGACGTAGACCTTCTATGTTTAGGTTTACGAAAAAAACCTAGGATAACTTTTTTGTAGAGCATTCAATTATTTATTAAAATGTTTATTGGTCTTAGCTTTAAATTTATTTGTTAGTAAGATTCAAAATGTTTTTCATCGGACTAATGTGAAAATAGAAAAATGCAATGAGGAGGATCTTACTCTTAAATACAGTATATACTATATATATATCTTAAATACAGTATATACTATATATACTAATATATATTAGTCAAAAAAAGGGATCAACCTCGGAATCTAACGGATTAAGCTACATTTTTGTACTTGTACAAACCTTTATTTTAGCATTACAAAATTTAATGTTGTCTCAAAAGTCACATATACCAACGTGTGAGCGTCCTTAGATATAAAAAAAAGAATGGTAGATTTTTGGAATCCCTCTAAGGTACATCTATACGGGATTTTTATTGGCCCGTAGAGGACTAAAAGGTACAATTCCGAACACTGACTGACACAATAAAAAATTATTGTTAATTCCACGTGGGTTCAAGTGCTTTTTTTATAATAAAAATTCCACCGAGGTTTCAGAAAATTCTTGTTGATGTGCTGTCATTTTTAACGTTCTTATAAAAAAAATTACTATTTTTTTTACTAATAACACCAACAGTTTCCGACAGCTGGCAACAGACCTAACATCAAGAACAGCAACCAATTTACTCAACACAAGAAAAACCAATTCCCTTCACTTTCTGAATACACGAATTTTGCAATAATAATATAAAAATTTAAATTAAATATTTATGTGAAGAGATGTATTTTTTCCGAAATTTCAAGTTATTCCCATTTATGAGGCAGTTGAGTTTGATAGTCGTAATACCCCTCCCTAATATAAGTTAGGTAATCCCTCGAAACGTTTTCGAGATTTTGTGAATATCGCGGCTTACTACGATTATATGCCAATTTTTCGAAAATTGTCGATATTTCCCAGTTTAGTCCAAAAAATGAGCAATAGTGGATTCTTTGATTTACGTCTAATTTTGAGAATACGATATTGTGCACATAGCATTATACTACAGGGTGTTAAAAAAAGGGATGTTTTTTCCAAAATTTCAAATCCCCATTCACAGGGCAGTTGACCTTACTAATAATTAGGGAGGGGTATTACGACTATCAAACTCAACTGCCTCATGAATGGGAATAACATGAAATTTCGGAAAAAATCCATCTCTTCGTTTAACACCCTGTAGTATAATGCTATGTGCAAAATATCGTATTCCCACAATTAGACATAAGAGTCAAAGAATCAGCTATTCAGAATTTACAAAGATTTTCAATATCGATTCAGTAATTTTCCAATAACAAGCTTTCAAATATTTTCCAAAAAACTAGGTGCGTCGATTTTTATGACAAGCAGTTTATTTTATTTGTATGCACTTTTTTTTATTATGTATTCCAAAAATTAACAAACTTCTGCATCTCTATGATAATATTATATAATAGAAATTTGTATGGGGTTTAATAAATATAATATTTATAAAATACTTATAAAATAAAAAAAGTGCGCTTTTTATTAACATACATTATCATTAAATTTAATGTCAAAACTACGCTGAACGAGAAAATATATGCTTCTAAACAATTAGGTACATGGAACTACCAATTTTTATTTGATAAATTTAATGTTTTATATACCCCATACACGCTTCCATTGTTAAAATTTATAATAGAGAGTAGTTTGTTATTTTTTTGATTTTATTAAAATATTTTTTCCATACGAAATTAAATATTTCTGAAACGAAAAAATAATTAATTTTAAAAGTTTGGTAGTCTAATGAGTTATTTAAAAAAATCAACTTTAGTCTGAGATTATTATAACTAGGTAATTTTTTTCACTGCAGAAAAATTTAACTGTTTAAATTAAATTGTAAAAATAACTATTTTTCTTTTGAGTTTTTGACTCCATGGCTTTAAATTCCTATTTTTGTTCGTCGTAGATAAAATATATTATTCAACTTCTCTAGACACTCGTTTTTATTAAACACTCGTTCGCAAGCTTCGCTTGTGCCTAATAAAACTCATAACTAAAATGGCGTTTATAAAACTTAATACATAATAAGCTATTATAGTGTTCTTTCGCAAGGTTGTCTAGATTTCCATATTTACCTGTTTGGTTTATTTAAGCTGAGATAATGTGGGTCAAAACCATAATTAATTAATTATTCAGTAGATATATTAATATATTTTTTATAATAAATTGTGTATCATGTAATACCTACGAATTTTTATTCCAACGCTAAATTTAATAAAATGTGTTGAGTCAATAAAAGTATATTATTATACGAGAGATATTACAGGCTTTTATTCGCGAGTCGCCAGACGAGAGACCTAAATCATCCGACACGGTGCTGTTCTGAGAGGTGATTTTTGGACTTTCTGTGAAACCAAATTTTTTTTTATATTCTTATAACAAATTATTGTTGATTGTGAAATTTTTGTAATTAAGGTTAATTTACGCAAAATGTCCCGCTATTTTTTAACAGAATCTGGTCACTTGATACTTTATCTACGACGAATATATACAAAGAAGAATTTAAAGCCAATCTTATTTGTTAAACATTTGACATCTGTCAACTTTAAACGGATTTAAGCTCACTTTTCCCTAATTTATTGTAAAGCTAACTTCAGCCCGTGACTAAAATGTTCAAAAGACACTATTGCAAACTTCAGCCGGGACTCAAACGCCATAACGTCACAGCTCGTCAATGTAGGAGTAGATAAAATATATATTTACATCTTAAGCATAGTTTGTTTAGATATTTTTATTTGAAAATGTGTGGAATTATTGCAATTTAAATAAACTTTTTTGTCAAAAAACGTAATATAGGCATTTTTTAAATTTTGTAACCAGATATATTATTTAAATAAAGTTAAATAACAATATATTTGCTCACAGAAAATTTAAAATTTCATATATAATAAGTTAAATGCACATTAGTTATTCATATAGTTTATAGTCAAGGAAAAAATGTTAAATGGTTAAGTACATCAAATTTTGTAGACAAAACGTTTAATTTTTAATAGCTTTATAATGAATAAAATAAAATTATTAATTTCCGCATATATAAAAAATAGCTTTAATTAATTTTCTATTTAATAATAGATATTAATAAAATATTTTATTGTTCTTAAAGAAAAACTTATTTTAATTTATTGTATTATACCATGTGTAAGTACATACTATTTTTATTTTATACTAATATATTACTATAGTTTTATTTAACTTGTCAATGTGTATTTAAAAGTTCACTTAGTGTCATGAAAACATGTACCTACGATAATAAGCGTTTTAAAGGTGGGAGTAGAAAATAATATATTATGTGTATAAAAAAGTTTATAAACGAGGTGCATACTATACTTTTTCTACGACAAATACTTATTATTATCTTAAAATGATTTAAATCAAATATTGGATAGAGCGCCATCTATAAAACAATAGAGAAATCATGTGTTATAAATACAGATTATAAAGGTTATAAATCGAAATGTATTCCTTGAAAATGGATTAACAACACAGTGAAAGTAAAGAAAATGTTTTATGAGCACTTTACAGTGGCGAAATTAAAAGGTGAGTACAATGTTCATATAAACTTTTCAAATATTGGCGTTGAGAAAATATTTAATACTTTTGTATTAATAAAATAATTTTCACATTTAGTATTATTTTACAAGAAATTTCTTAAGGCTTTTTACTTTGACGATTGTATGAAATTTGAAAACTGTCAACTAAAGCCAATTGCCAAGATTTTAAACACTTTTTCCCAATTTTAACTTAAAACTAACTTTAGCCCGTCTACCTATTAGGTATATTATGTAACAATTTTATAAACGCCATTTAAAATAAATTTAAAGTTTAATTATGCACGAGCGTAGCTTGCGAAGTTATAAGAAAGCAAACTTCAGCCCGTGACTAAAAAGCCCAAAAGCCACTGTTGCTAGCTTCAGCCCGCGACTTAAACTTCATAAAGTCACAGCTCGTCAATGTAGGAGTGGATGATAGATAGTATATTTTTAGCAGGGACCCGGACCGGACCGTTTGTTTGTGGACCGGAACCATAACCGAACCAATATTATTTTTAAATTTAACTCTAGAGACCGTACCCGAACCCTTAAAACGGTTTTATAGGTTATTTTCGATTTTTTTCTTAATTTCTTTTTGCAAAAATTAAAAATAAATTGGTTTCGTTAAAAAAATATTTTTGCACGGGCTATAAATCTTTAAATTATACTCTGGCAAAAGTATTGTTAGGGGTTCCTGCATGTAAGCTTTAAAAGGCTGTTTTCTGGCCTCAAATTTTTACTTTTCCCAACAAGATCAAACAATTTTAAAGGAACAATTATTTGTAAGCACCAACAAAATTATTTGAGAAAAAGAAGAACAAAAGCTGTAAGATCAGTTTTTTGTTTTTATATAACCTATTTCAATTATAAATATTCCAGTTTTTTAATCACAAGGTCAGAAGAAAAAGATAAAGGCCAGCCGATCGAGAATGAAAGTAAATAAAAAAAAAGAATGAAGAGCCCTTAATTAAAGAACCTGATTTGAAAAAAAGAAGAGACAAAGTATACTTTATAATATATTATATTATAATACTCTATTTAATTACTTGCCAAAAAAAATTACAAAAAAGATTAATACTTTTTTATTTTAAAATTTAAGTAGGTACTTATTTACACATAGTACAAAAATTGGAACCCAAAAAACCATATGGACCGAAGAGATTGGTACGAACCGGACAGCAATATTTTTTTTGGAACCGTAACTGAACCCGAACCGAAATTTGTCGTTTTTCTCGAGACCGGAACCGGACAGGAACCGTTATTTCATTTGGGTCCGGGTCCCTGATTTTTAGGCACGAGCAAAGCTTGTGAGCAAGTGTTTAATAAAAACAAATGTTTAGAAAAGTTTATAAAACAAGTTGCATATATAGTAAATATATAGTATATATACTTTATTTTCGTCAAAAAATAAGTATTTAAAGCCAATTCAGCTCGTGACTATACTGCCATGCTAAGTCAAACCCCTGTGTGTGCAATATTAAGTTATAAATGGCAAAAGTTAATTTTTATTGTTTTGTACAATTAAAATACTATTTTGTCATTTATAATTTAATATGGCACATACGGGGGTTTGGCTTAGCAGGGCAGTATAATGCCCAAAAGCTACTATTGCGTATTACATTTTAAAAGTAGATAAAATAATAAATAAGTGGTTTTACTATTTTGTTGTTAAAGAATTTAATTAATTATAATTTAAAAAATTATACCTTCCCCTTTAAATAAATAAACGATAGAAAGTCTTATTTTTAAATACGCAACTCATAATAAAGTAATTAAATTCATTACTAAATAATAAACCGGTAGATCTCCTAATATTTTTGTGTTACAAAAGTGATTTATAAAATAAATAAAAGTTTAATAATAAAAATTCATGAAAAAATACGCAACACCTCAAGGTGTTACCAAGTGGTAATTCTATACAAGTAAAGTCAAATCGGAACCATTTTTTTAAATTTATTATTGCCTTATAATAGGTAATGTTATCAAAAATGTCTTTATTTTGCAGTATTTTTTGATTACTTAAAGTATAGGTACTTACGTATACTTTACTTAATACGCTTTCGTATGGGCTGAAATCCAGGGATTTTGGGTCTCTTGGTGGATTTGGTTTTGGTACGTTGGCTGTCACAGCTGCCAAACAGTATTGCTTTAGGAATGGTCCTTTTGATGATATACATTGTTCGAACTGGCCGAATTGTGAAATGCTGCCTCTAAGAATACCGTGTACAGCATTTGCTGAAGCATCGTGCACTGAAATATAGAAAAATTAGTTGAATTTGTATAAAAAACAATTTAGTTGCATTTTATTTTCAGACAATGTCATGTCATCTTCAATTCCTATTTAATTTTTTCTACTCGCGTGGGAAAAGAAAATTAATACTTTAAAAGTTGCATACAACATGAGTATACTCATAAAGCCTTTAATAGTATTTTTAATTAAAAAAAAATATTGCCAAAATAATTTAATATAAGAAGAAAAGTAGCAACTTTCCGCAAGCTTGTAGAAATAATTTTAAAAATGGAAACTGATAAATGAAATTGAAAGATTCCCTTTACTGCACGGAAAAAAATAATCGGTAGAGGCTACCGATTGGCAATCGGTAACAGCTACCGATTGCCAATCGGTAGACTCTACCGAAAAAATAGGTAGACTCTACCGAAAAAATCGGTAGTCTCTACCGAAAAAAAATCGGTTCCCTCAACCGATTTTTATCGGTAGTAGCTACCGATTATTTTTCGGTAGAGTCTACCGATTTTTTCGGTAGCCGTAACCGAGAAATTCCGCATCGATGCGCTGTTAGAAAATTAAAAAAAATATATTAATACTTAAAAATATTAACATTTAAAAATAATATTAAACATTATTCAAGTTAATAAAAATTACTCTTTTCAGTCAAACATTTTGAGATGGTATTCATTGTAATTATTAAAAAATGCTATTCAAAGAAATGGGTTTTTTTTATCATCTATCTAATTTTTCTGTCTGCAATATTTTTGTGACACATTAATATTTAACTTAATATTTCTTATACAATTAAAAAGTCAAACGGCGTGCCATAAATAATTTTGTATGTACGCAAATTTTAATTCTAATAAAAATGATACAATTAATTTTATGTGTACACATAAAATTAATGCACTGAATTTTTATTATGTAATTAAAATTATAACTATACTATAATAAAAATAAAAATTTTAGAATTAATTTTATCTAGATAAAATTATATAATTAATTTTATCTAGATGAAATTATATAATTAATTTTATCTAGATAAAATTAATTCTATAATTTTTATTATGTAAAGTCAAAATTTTAATTGTAACATTAAAATTCATTGCATTAATTTTATCTAGATAAAATTATATAATTAATTTTATCTAGATAAAATTAATTCGGCGCTTTGGAGTGCGGTCGAAAGTGGCAACTGCAGTAGATCATATAGTAGGCACGTTTAATTTATCAAAGTTTGTCTAGTTTGGCGCCAATATGCGAGAGATCTGTTTGTGGTTTTTGTGTTATTGATTGTTGGAACTGTTCGCAAGCCTGCCTGAGCTTATAAATCCTTAAAAATAAGTTTTGTTCAATATAAAACATATACTATGCACATGAACTACGGCAGATGCCACTTTCAGCCGCACTACCACAGCGCCGAATTAATTTTATCTAGATAAAATTAATTATATAATTTTATCTAGATAAAATTAATGCAATGAATTTTAATGTTACAATTAAAATTTTGACTTTACATAATAAAAATTATAGAATTAATTTTATCTAGATAAAATTAATTATATAATTTTATCTCGGGGGGGGCGGTCCGCCCCGGGCGGAACTTCTTGGGGCGGCAAAAATCGTGTGAGAAAATGCGAAAAAAACTGGAAGACAGAATATAAAAATAAAAAAAATATTTGATAATTTTTTACTCAGGTTTAAGTTTTTTTTGTAGGTACTTTTACATAAGGTTGATAATTTATATCTTTGTTTTTTTCATATAAATTATGTTAAAGCACATTTTATTTGTTGTTTTTCTTTACCTAGGTCTAAGAATTTTTGTTCGTTTTTAATTCTTAAAATATTACAATTTAATGTTATATATATATAATTATATATTTTTAATTTTGCGTACGGTCCTCAAAACTGACTCCTAACCTAACCTCTCTTCCCCCCCAAAAAAAAAACATGAGGGCGACAGCCACTGCTGCCCCGGGCGGCACTTTTTCTAGTTACGCCGCTGATTGTATAAGAAATATTAAGTTAAATATTACTGTGTCACAAAAATATTGCAGACAGAAAAATTACATTAAATAAATAATTCAACATCTTATATAAACATATTTAAAAAAAGAATAACTTCTTTGACATGTATAATTCTAATTAATGTATTATTTTGAAGGTATTATTTTTCAGTGCAATTTATTTTTAAAGTATTAATATTTAACTTAATATTTTTTATCCGAATAAAAAGTGAAACGGCGTGCCATAGTTTTACCAACCTTAAAATCAAGAAATTATAATTTATGTTTACTTGAAATAAAAAATAAAAAACTTAAAATCGACTATTTTTCTTTCGAAAAAAAAATATGGAAAAAAAAGATCCTGTTAAAATTTAAGCGAATTTATATTTTCCATTGAAATAGCACAGCATAAACACTGTGAAAATAGCATGGACATTTTTAACTTTGTTATTTTATAACTTTTAAACCACTGTACCCCAGAAAAACCAAGACGTATTTTTTGTAAAAATTGTTACGTCCTTCAAAGAAAGTTGCTTATTATTTCATTATAAATTTACTATTTTAACGGTTATTCAAAGTCGTAAAACTATCAAGTTAATCGTAAAATTTCTTGGGACCTTTTTTGTAGAGCGTTTTATTTTCCTTAAATTTTTTATACGAGGGGTAAACCACTTTAAAATCAGCGAGACCAACGTTTAACGTTATGCAGACCTTGTGTTCTGATTTTTTTCTCATCAGTCGTTAACAATAAGGAAAAATTCTTATCAATAAGAAACTTCTCCTAACGACGCGTAGCGCATGACTACCCTTGTGATTGTTATTCTTAGATGTTAATTCCTATGCGATTTTAAAAAATTAGTGGTTTACCCCTCGCTTTTATAAAGTTTTTAAAATTTTTAAAGGATCTTCAGTTAACGATTTTAAAGCTGTTTCTTACATCTAATTGTTTCTTTGATCTTAAGATTTGTTCTTAAAAATCCTAATAATATTTTTTTTAAGTATATCGAAAATATTGTTCATAATGATCGAGAGATTTAAATCATTCTAATATTCTACTCCCATAAGTAGATAATTAAATAACTTTCAATAATATATATATATATATATATATGGGCAGATCCATTACTTTTCGACAAAAGTGTGCGGGGGTAAATCACCGATTTGGCTGCCGATTTTTTTCTCGAAAGTAGGTCATATAAGAAGACGATCCTGAAAATTTGAGCTCGATATAGGTAATTCCGGTTGCAAGAGAATTTTTTGAAATATAAAAATAGTCGATTTTTTAGTCATTTTTAAAAATTCGTATCTCAGCTCCTATTTAACTTAGAGATTTGATCAAAACGGCATTTTTCTATGTTATCCCTCTATTTTCAAGAAAAAAATAGGTTTTAAGTTTAAACTCAAATCCGGCTAAGCTGTAAGCCTCCAAATAAAACACTGCTTAAGATAAATTTTGCCAATTTTTAAAGTGCTCTCAAATCTACAGTTTTTGAAGCAGTGGGATGAATGACAGATGATATTTTTCGTTAAGGTATACTCTGTTGTAATTTACCCATAAAAGCCATACTTATTTTTATACTGACTCGGAGCTCCATCAGAGAAATAGATAATGTTTTTAATCCATGGAAAATCTTTTTTCAGAACTTGCACTAATTTGTTTTAAAAAGCGTGAACTGTATATGCAAAATGTTCCTTAGTGCCACTTATTACACAAAAACTTAGTTGCTCCAGTTTTTCGTTATCTTCTTTGCTGGGATCTTTATAGTACATACAAAAAGGATGAATTGTAGCTTGTAAATTATTATAATAAAATGCTTGTAACGTTGTATTATAAAAGCGAAATCCATTATTATTATACAAGTATCAGTTTGCAATTTTTTTTTACAATCAAATAAACAATTTTTTTGAGAATCGGCAATATAAGAATGTAGAGTTAAATTCCAGACATCAGAAAACAAATTATCTAAAAAACTGCTTTTACTTTCCGTATAATTGGCTAGAAAAGCTCTACTTCCAGCTGTGTCCCAACGTTTAAAATTAATTTCACCTTTTTGCAAATCAAAATTAAATTCTTTAATCCAAAATAAAGGGATAATAGAGAAAAATGCCATCTTGATCAAATCTCTAAGTTAAATAGGAGCTGAGATATGAATTTTTGAAAATGACTAAAAAATCGTCTTTTTTTATATTTCAAAAAATTCTCTTGCAGCCGGAATTACCCATATCGACCTCAAATTTTCAGGATCGTCTCCTTATATGACCTACTTTCGAGAAAAATGAACAAGGTCTAATAGATTATTGACTAAAGTATTACTAATAATTCATTTAACTGAAAATAAAACTACCAAAAATGTCATATTATATTGAAAATTTGACATTTTTAAAAATGCATAGCTCGGAAACCACTTCAATACCCAAGGAAAAGTTTTGATGGTTTGTTTGGGAATAGAATAAAGTATAATCCCTGAAATTTTCAAAGGATTTCGGATCGATAGAAAAAAGTTGTAGGTATCTGAAAACATTGATTTTTCAAAAATCAATTGTCTTTGAGTGGCCATACATTAGAGAAATCGAAGCAATCAAGTAAAAAATGGGTAAATTCCAACAGAGTATACCTTAACGAAAAATATCATCTGTCATTTATTTCACTGCTTCAAAAACTGTAGATTTGAGAGCACTTTAAAAATTGGTAAAATTGATCTTAAGCAGTGTTTTATTTGGAGGCTTACAGCTTAGCCGGATTTAAGTTTAAACTTAAAACCAATTTTTCTCTTGAAAATAAAGGGATAACAGAGAAAAATGCCGTCTTGATCAAATCTCTAAGTTAAATAGGAGCTGAGATACGAATTTTTGAAAATGACTAAAAAATCGACTTTTTTTATATTTCAAAAAATTTTCTTGCAGCCGGAATTACCTATATCGAGCTCAAATTTTCAGGATCGTCTCCTTATACGACCTACTTTCGAGAAAAAAATCGGCAGCCAAATCGGTGACTTACCCCCGCACACTTTTGT